AGCCTGCCCCCTGCACAGGGCAGAGACCCCCCCCAGCCTGCCCCCTGCACAGGGCAGAGACCCCCCCCAGCCTGCCCCCTGCACAGGGCAGAGATGGGGGCCATGGGGACAGGGGGCGGGGGGGGGGCATGGAGATGGGGGGGCCCTGGCGGATAGGCAGCCATCTCCGCTGGTGCCCCAGGGTGCCAGCTGCCTTGGTGGGGCCGGCTGGCGGCTGGCACTGCCCGGCTGGGGTGGCGACACTGAGGAGGGCAGGCAGAGAAGCAGAGGGCACTGGCCCCTGCCCCACTGTGTGGGGGGAAATAGGGGGTTGTATGAAGTCTTGTCCCATCTGGGCTACTTGGCACTGCACAGCCGTGTCTCTCCTGGCCTGGGCAGTCCCGGCTCTGATGGTGTTAGCAGCAGCTAGCGAGATGCCAAATGTCTGCAAGGGAATCGGAGCTCGTGCCCTGGCCAGTCTGCGCCAGCAGTGCGGGCCCAGGAGCTGGTGGAGCACCACAGAGCCATGGCCACAGAGGCAGGCTGGTGCTCCAGGAGCTCTGGGTGCAAGAACTGGTCGACACGCTGGGGGCCCGAGTATTGGTGGGTCTGGGCAGCCGGGGTTCGGTGGGGACGGCAGTGTGGCCATGGCCAGAGGAGAGGCATAGGATCAAGTGACGTATATTTGAGCTCGACAGTGTAGGACAGGCCCTATGGGCCGTTCTCCAGGGCTGTGCCCAGGCACTGGGGGGCTCCTGCCCCTGCCCCTGTCCCTGGGAAGTCAGTTCCCCAGGAGAAAGGCTCTCTGGGGCAGGGACTATTTCTCCTCCTCTCACAGCCACAGCATGTCCGTCCTTGCTTAGCTGAGCTGGACCGACTGAACTCCTGAACCCTTGAGTCCCTGATCTCAGTTCCCTCCAGTGGTCAGCATTTTTCTGGGAATGTGGTGCCCACAATAGAGGACACTGGGCCTGGCCCGGCTGTGCATTCAGGGGCTGCCCCCTGCTCAGCAAGGTGCTGCCTCTGGGCCTGCAGCCCTCAGTCGCATTGCCCGTTTTCACTGCCCGTTGCATTTCCGGGTGGTGTCTGCGCTGACGTCCACTGTCACCCCCAGGGCTCTGCCTTTGCTGCCGGGTTCAGCTCCTCCAGTGGCAGCCGCTGGTGTTTAACCACGTCTCAGCTAACCCGGCTGGGAGCAGCCTGCATGGCACCGTGGCCCCCATGCGGGAGGCCACGGGGACTGCCCCAGTGGTGGGAACGAAGGGAAAGTATAAGGGGAAAGGCTAGTGTAGACAAGGGCTTCGGCTCTCAGGTGCACTGGCTCCTAGGTTGGTTTCTCCCATTGACGGGGGGTGGCTTAGCTTGTTCTCCCCAGCTGGGGTAGCTGCATCCATCCCAGCTGCGTCTCAGCTTGGCCATTTCTGCCCACGGTGTTAATCTTGCTGGGTCCCTCGGGCTCATTTTTTTTGTCTTCACTGTTGATCACAGCTCCCCATTTAGTGTCACCCGCTGCTCACCGCTCACTTCCAGATCACAGGTGAAAACGCTTAATGAGTGTGGACCAAGCCAAGGCCCCTGCTGGATTCCTCCCCCCAGCCCATGCACTGGAGGACGTTCGTTTACCTCTGCGATCTGGGTTGTGCCCCCTTGGGCATATGCATCAGGCCACCGCCTTTAGCTGCATGATCACATGCTATTTTTCTCTGGGTGCAGGTGCTCAGCAGGGCCCAGCAGAGACCTCTGCCAGGGCGGAGTGTGGTTCAGCATGCTGTGCCCATAACATCCATAGCCTCAGACTGCTCCAGGCTTAGTCGCTGGCCACATCAGTTCACAGGGGGCTTTGGTGCCTCCACTGGGACAAACACACTCCCCTCCTCCTCCCGTCTCAGCCCTGGTGCTGGCTTCTCTCCAGAGCAGCTGCGAAGCAGCAGCAGTCAGGATCCTGGCTCTGCTCCTCCTCTTTTCCCCATGCAGCAAGCCGCAGCAGCTGCACCAGTGCTGTGCCCAGGCCAGAAAGAGAGACGGCCCCGGGGGAGGGGTGGCATCCTCCCTGGTACCTGAGGAGGACACTACTCTGCACGGACGACAGAGGAGGAGGGGGACGTATCAGGCAACGCTTCCATGCCCCAGCAGTCGAGGAATCCAGAGCACTAAGCTAAAACACAGGGCCCAGATCACAACACGCTGGATGTGAGGGTTGGTGCCCTGGCAGTTTGAGTCCTTGCTCTAGGTTTCTCTGTGCACAGCGTGAGAGGCCTGGGCACGGGAGGAATTATCAAATCAAGGCCCTTGGATGTCACAAGGCAAAGTGACACTACAAGACTTATCAAATATCACCCCTTCACATTCACGCGTGTTAAAGACTAGTGAATTGTGCCGACACATTCAAGGCCTCAGAACAAAATAAGGTGCCCCTACGAAGGTCAGCGGGGACACAGAAACCTGGAGCAGTAACAGCTGCATCGGCGCTAAGGGTGTCACAGGGTTTGTTTAATGCAGAGTTTTGCACCCTCTCCAAAGTTCACATAAGAGACACTGAAAACCGGTTTGCTATTTTGTGATCACAGTCTCGACTTGAACAAAAATTTGATGACGGGCTCTTCGTTGTAGCAGACGAAAGTCTAACAAGATGCAATGGCTGGAAATTGAAACTAGACAAATTCAGACTGGAAATAAGATTACATTTTAACCATGAGGGTAATTAACCATTGGCGCAATTTACCAAGGGTCATGGTGGATTCTCTGTCACTGGCAATTAGGGCTGTCAATTAATTGCAGTTAATGCAAGCGATTAACGCAAAACAAATTAACCAGATTTTAAAGAATAGTCATGATTAATCACAATTTTAATTGCACTGTGGGTTGGCAGGGGCATGAGGGGGGGCATGGGACCTGGCACAGGGAAGCTGTGTGGGGCGGAGGGTGGGTTGGCAGGGGTATGATGGGAGGCAGAGGGGGATCTAGCACAGGGATGATGTGGGGGGGCAAAGGGTGGGTTGGCAGGGGTATGATGGGGGGCAGAGGGGGACCTGACACAGGGATGCTGTTGAGGGGAATGACCTTAACAGTGCAAAGCAGCACCCCTCCCCCTGCTGCCCACAGCTGACTGGGAGAGAGGTGGCAGGGAGGAACGTGCTGCCCACCAAGGCGGGGGAGATTTGACCACCACCCAGAGCAGAGAGAGCCCTACAGCAAAGGAGCTGCCTGACTGACCCGTGTGTTCCTCCTTCCAGGATGGTTCCCCCACCGCCCGTCAACAAGCCCCATGTCTGCCTCTCCACCGTCCTCATCATGAGCAGCTTGGTGCTGATGGATGCCTACCTGGTGGAGCAGAACCAGGGCTCCAGGAAACTGGGCATCTGCATCATGGTCTTGGTGGGCGACGTCTGCTTCCTGCTGGTGCTCCGGTACATGGCGGTCTGGGTCGGGGCCGAGGTGAGGACAGCCAAGCGCGGCTATGCCATGATCCTCTGGTTCCTTTACGTCTTCGTGTTGGAGATCAAGGTCTACTTTGTCTACCAGAACTACAAGGCTGACCGGAAGAGCCTGGACCTTCTGGCACGCAAAGCCCTGACCCTGCTGCTGTCCATCTGCATCCCTGCCCTCTACGTGCTGCTGGTGGCCACCGAGCACATGGACTACGTCCGGACATTCAAGAAGAAGGAGGACCTCCGCAACCGCCTCTTCTGGGTCGTCATTGACATGCTGGACGTGCTGGACATCCAGGCCAACCTGTGGGAGCCCCAGAAGAAAGGGCTGCCCCTCTGGGCCGAGGGCCTGATGTTCTTCTACTGCTACATTTTGCTCTTGACTCTCCCTTGCGTGTCCCTGTGCGAGATCAGCATGCAAGGGTTCAGCATCGTGCCGCACCGGATGATGCTCTACCCCATGCTGAGCCTGCTCACCGTCAACATCGCCACCCTCTTCATCAGGGGGAGCAACATGGTCTTCTTCCGGGACGCCCGGGTCTCGGGCATCTTCATGGGCAAGAACGTGCTTGCCATTGTGCTGAAGCTCTGTATGTTTGTGCAGTACCGGAAGCAGCTGCGCCACGGGCCGGTGGAGTTCAGCGCCGCACCCCAGCACAGCGCCGTGCCCCAGCCCCAGCCTGCCCTGCAGCTGCTGAAATCCCAGAACCAGACGCCTGGCCCCGAGGCCCTGGGCCGGGAGAACACGTGACCTGAGGCGGGCACCGCAGACTGGGCACGGAGTAACACGTCTGTTTGGGGTTGGACCCTAACGATGGCAGAGTACCGCCGCCTGCCGAGCCCCTGCCCAATGCTGGTTCCTCCAGGAAGTCTGTGAGCGACCCTTCCTTGCTTTGCACGGACAAACTGACCAGCCACATCCTAGCTGAGCACGGGGCTGGGGAATGGCACGGCGTAGAACAGCCAATGGTAGCCAGCCCCTGAGGCCAGCTGGCAGACCCTGTAGAGAGGCTATCGAAGGGGAACAGGCAGTGCCAGGCGACAGGGTCTATCCCTGCTTGCTCCCCTGTATTCCTTCAATTGCAAGGGTGTCGCAGCGCGATGGCTCTGCGGTGGGCCTGCTGGGAATGTCCCGGGGGGACACAGTCTCCATGGACTCCCTGCACAGTCACTGTGAGGTCAGAGTCAGGCGTGGAGTCTAACAGTGCCGGGGGGCACCCGTTCTGCCCTCGATTGTGTCTCCTGGGCCCCTCTCTCTGCACGCCCACACGTCCCCCCCCCCACACACACACATACACCGCTGCCTGTTCCCTCCTCGGGAGTGCAGGATCCCCCAGGGGAGTGGTGCTGGTGCCGGAGCTGCCCAGCCCCCAGACGCCCAATGGGACTCACTGGCTTGTGGGCCTTCTTCATGAGCATCTTCCTTTTTCCAATAAATGAGAGTCCAAGCCCTGCAGCCTCCTGGCGTCTGTGTGCAGCTGCTGCCTAATGCTGCGTGTGTGGAGGCCAGTCGGGATGAGCGTGTGTCCTGCTCTCTGTGAGGGCTGACAGAAGGCATGGTGGGTGGGTAGGATTATGGGACAACAAGAGCTGGCTCATTGTTAAGGTTGCAACACGGCTTCTGTTTGAATTTTCCATCCTCTCTGAAGCCTGCGCCACCAGTCAGATGGGCTTGGAAAGTGCTAGTTCAGGCCCCAGGGGAGAGTGTGGGGCACCTTTGGGGTCACTGGATCAAAGGGTGCCCAAGATAAAGTCCTCCAACATGATTGGTTGTGTAAGACCTCAATTTCTTATAACCCATTTGTTGCAGCTTAGGGACGGATGGGGCAGGCAGACAACAGGACAGTATGCCTTCTTCTCAGAGCCAAGACACAAGCTGTCATTCTAAGATTGGATAGGCTCATGAAGTCTACGGGCAAGGATCCATTGCTGGTGGTTCATATTGGCACTAATGCCACTGCGTCGCAGGATATCTCACAGATAACAGGTGATTTCAGGGAAATTGGAAGCATGCTGAAGAAGAATGAACAAAGGAAGACAGAAGACAGAATATTCTGGAAGCGAATTGCTGTCTAGGTAAGTGGTGTAGGGTGGAGAGTTTGGGTTTTGTGGAACATTGGTCCACCTTCTATGGGGAAAAGGGGTTGCATAGTTTGGATGGCTCCACCTCAATAGAAGGGGGACCAATCTTCTCAGGGACAGGTTGGATAGAGTAGTCAGGAGGGGGTTAAACTAATAGCAAAAGGGGAGGGTAGAAAGATGGAAGATATGAGTACTGAGTTAGCACAAAACTGATATGTTGAGAAGAAAATTAATCAAGACACCAAAGGACAGGAAGAGAAGGAATTATTTAATTGCCTTTACACTAATGCTAGGAGCCTGGGTAACAAATGAGGAATTGGATTGCTCATTTATGAGCTTAAATTCAATCTAGTTGGGATTAATGAAACCTGGCGGGATGCTTCGCACAACTGGAATGTTAAAATCAATGTTTATAACCTAGTTAGGAAGGATTGAATGGGCAAAAGGGGAGCGGGTGTGGCACTCTGTCAAAAATGGCATTACCTGTTCCGAATCACTGATCCCTCCAAAGAAAATGACCTTGAAGGCTTATGGATCAAAGTCCTAACAGATAAAGCACATTCTTTCCATTCTTCTGAGTACTGAATCTCCAACAAGGATCGTCTGTCTTCCTTGGATGGTTGGAGAATTCTTTGCAGGTAAACTTGCTTTTCTTATCCGTTGGGCTGAGCTGGCTTCTGCATGCGTGACCTGTACATCTCTTTGTTCGCTGGGAACTGCTGGATCTTGAGAGGCATCTTCCATAGTTTCCACTTTGAAGAACCAATATTGTTTTAAACTCCTAGCTGTGTGTAATTCCTCCTGCTTCTCTTCTCTCTGCTGGCCCTCGTTTGCCCATCCTCATCTTTCTCCATCTGTACAGAAAGACGTTGTGACCTCTTCCTCTGGCAGTTATGAACTGCCAGGTCTCCTGTCTGACTCCCACTCTCAGCTCCATTCTTCATTGAACTTGGGGTACTGGTGTTTCCCAAATCTGGTTGTCTAGAAGCTCCTCGGCTTCTCTGATTCTTAGTAGTGTCTCAGCTTTCCCCTCCAGTCCAAGCATCTTCTGCTCCGGCACGGTCACTTCATGCCCAGGAAATCCCGCCTGGCTTCAGGCAGGAACGAGAGCGTGGCACTTCCGCTGTAGGTCACCACCATTGTTCCATTGCTGGCTATCTTGATATCACACACAGATCTAGAGTGACCAGATGTCCTGATTTTATAGGGACCGTCCCAATTTTGGGGTCTTTTTCTTATATAGGCTCCTATTACCCCCCACCCCCTGTCCTGATTTTTCACATTTGCTGTCTGGTTACCCTACACAGAGCTGAACCTGGGAGGAAAGCCTCTCCCATGCCAAACTCCCTCAGAATCTCCCGTTAGCTGCCTCTGATTGTGGCTCTTGAGTTCACCTCGCAAGTGACTTTTTATACCCAGTCTTCGCTGCTTAGCTGAGCTCAGCTCTGCCTCTCACCACCAGGGAGCGATTAACCACTCCCGAGACTTCAAATGGCACGGCTCATCAAAGCTCCACGGGCTAGAGCCGTGGGGTCTTCAGCAACTCACGGAGCAAAGCTCGAAGGGAGGGGATGGCATGTGGGGAACTGGTTGTGTGGCAGGGGAGCTGGCTCTAGGAGGGGATGGCGTGTGGGGTTTTGGCGGTGGGGCAGCGAATCTGTCGGGGGGCTGGCTGTGGGCGGGGGCTGCTCTCAGAGGTTGCAGCGTGGTAGCAGGTTGGAGGTGGTTCAGTTTCCGTGTGACACACACACTCAGGGTATTTTCAGTGGCGGCACAGCATGCCCACACAGTCCGGGGCCTCAGCCGTATGACGTGCAGGAAGCCCAGCTAAGATCCCACCCAGTCCAGCTCTCTCCTTGGTCTCTGCTATCTGCTGAGCACACTCCATTCATCTCTGCTGGCTGGGCCCTGTCCGTTCCACCGGGGGAACTGCTTAGCCTACCAGCCCCGGATGGCATGGCCCAGTTCCACCTGGTCTGGCCCTTAACCCTCCTCGGGGCCAGATGCTCTGCAAGCCAAGGGGCTTCAGGTGGACATGACTAGAGCCAGTGCCCACTGGAGGCAGCTCCTCTGCTAAATCCCCCAGGATCCCATTAACAACCGTCCCCAGCATTGGTGCTACGGCCCCAGCTTTGGAACAGTCTCTAGGAGGAACCCCTGCGGTGTGCCAGACCCCCTAGGGGTCTTGCTCTTCCTCCAGGTGAGCCACACGGCTTCACCTCCTCCTTAGACAGGACCTCTGGGCCGACGGCACCCTGCTTCACAGCGTGAGCTCCGTCCAGCGAGTCCAGCTGAGACAGACCCTGAGGGAGACGTGTCCTCTCTGCCGGGATTCATGCATCTCACCAAGCCCCAGAGAGCGCTAAGCGCCACGTATCCCCGTGTCTCTTAGCCTGCGCTGGGAGCAAACAGACCCTTCCCACCACTGGGTAACAGTGCATTATATAAAATAAACTGGGGCACAAACAGGACTCATACAAATATTCCCACTTTATCAAAGCCCCCTTGGGCCAGGTGTCAGCATTTAACCCTTTGTGCAGGGTCCAGCACTTGCACATCCATAAGTCATCTCATTAGCAGCTTTGCTATAGCCGCCCAGCCTCCGGCCAGGGCTCTGGGCAAGTCCCAAGTCTTGGAGACACAGGAGCTGGAAACGCAGCCTCTACAGCTCTTCCATGGGCTCCCTGCCACATCCTGGGAAGATCCTGCCGGACTCCAGCTCCAGCTTCGAGCTGGGCCAGGCCTTGGGGAGATGCTCAGTAACATGAATTGTCACATTCCCTGCAGCCCATGGCTCAGTCCCAGAGCCTTCCCCCCTCCCACCATCCCCATCTTCTGCTGACCCCTGGGACAGCTGAGCTCTCACCCCCCTGCTTGTTCCCTGGTTATTTGTTTCCATGGAGATGCGGTCTGGTTAGCAGGAGACCCAGTTCTCTCTCTCTCATGCAGCCATCTAGCCTGAGATCTCTAGGTCTCTACCGCAGGAGGCTCAGTGCCAGCCTGAGCAGGAGGAATTGCACCCCTGGGAGCAGGGAAGGCCAGCCAGCAGCTCGGGACAGCCCTCATCTCTCCAGGCTGGCAGGGCTGGAGCACAAACAGAGAGAGGCAGCAGCAGGTGCCCAAGGCAGAGCCACACGAGACTCATCCATCTCACCAATTAGCCACTCACTCGTGAGCGGAATACAAAGCACAGTGCCCGCCCCCCTACGTGGTTAGTGGCTGCACACTGACAGTGATGGGGAGCCCAGCCCCGGTGCTGTTAACCCTATCCCTGGCACAGGGGGAGCAGCCCACCTCTGTCCTCACTGCAGAGGGGAGGCATGTGGCAGGGTGCATGCAAGGGGGCTGCCACTGGTAAGTCACTAGTGAAATGGGTGCACACAGCCCTCACACGAGGTGCTCTGCAGCTGGGGCAGAACAGGCCCATCTGAATCTGCACACGCATCGCACTAGCAGACCGTCCAAGAGCTAGGAAGGGACTCGCACGGCTGCTCTGCACAGGGGCAGCGTTCAGCCCAGCCATTCCCCTGCTCAGCCAGCCCTGCCGCCATTCCCCTGCCCCTGGGCACAGCGCCCAACTCCCACAGAGCTGTCCCCGCTCCAGCCGAGTGCCGCTGGTGATGCGGTGCTGGGCCAGGCCCTGGCCGATGGACACGCCCCCAGGTGGCAGTGATGCATGCCAACTGTGGGTGCTGGGGTACCCTCAGAACCGCAGCTTTCATTACAAGGAGGAGGCCGTTTCTAGCCCGCCTGGCTGGGAAGGAAAGCTTGAAACCATCTTCCCGCTCCTGCCTCTCCAACATGCTCCAAACCAGAAGGCAAATCACGGCCCCCAATTTACTGTGCTTTCGCCTCTCCTGACACTGAAGGCCAGCTCCAGCTGGCTGGGGCCCGACTCAGGCATCTGGAACTCAGGGATGCCAACGGCATGTGAGCAAAGCAAAACCCAAATCCCCTCTGCAGCCAGCACTGCACCACCCATTGGACCGGGGGCCTGACCCAGCCCAGCCTGCTCCGCTGGAGGCAGAGGCCCACAGGTGTCTGGCACACCAGCTGCCAAGGTAGGACCTTTCAGCTGGAGAAGGGATTCCCCCAAGGGCTGGAAGGAAACAGATGGGGCAGATTGAATTAGTCAGGCCAACAGGCAACAAGGCCTCAGTTAGCAGGGAAAGGAGCTGGTGCTGGGGCAGGAAAGAAGGGGCTCTCCCTCAGCTGGAATAAAGAGGACAGCCCCTCACCTGACCCTGTCCTGCTTCCCCACCCTGGCCCTGCATGACTGGCTGAGCTGGCAAACGCTGCTGGGGTGCATGTCCCTAAGTAGTGGCTGCAGGAGGCTGGATCAAGCCTGCTGTGCAGGGCTGCAGGAGTGGAAGAGTGCAGTGTCGGGCAGGTCAGGCCTGTGGTGCATGAAGGGAGTCGTGTGAGGCTCACGCACTAGCCTCCCGGGGACAGTCCAGGGCTCATCCCTCCATCATGCCCCTGGGATCTGTATTGGGACCATTACCTTTATGCCTGTAGCCCTGTGATGGTCTTGGCCCCTAGGGAGCATTGCCTAGTGGTCAGGGGTTTAGTCCCTTCAATACGCAGGGGTGGGGTGAGGGGCAGTTTTGGTTGTGGAG